CACTAATCATTGTACGTTAGGTTTGTTGTCTAGGGCACTAGATGGGTTGGGTATTAACACCCCATTACAGATAGCAGTTTCGTCACACTGCGCCCTAATATCTTCTCCACCCATTTTAACCATTTCTGGCTCTTGTTCGGATATTACTTGCAAGATCAGGTCTTTGATTTTAATGTAAATATTCTTCGAACAATCGCAGAAATCAATCGCCTGTGCTAGGGTATAATCATATACCCAGCAATACATTCCCCTAAGAATTTTTACAAATTTTATATTTGGAAGGGCCATCTTAGGCTCGCCTTTGATCTGCATGCCTTAGAAGAGCATCTGTAAGCATACCCGTCTATATACGTGGCAGCCACCATAATCCTCATTCTTTCATCACCCCTCATACAATTTATTTCTTTTTTTATATTATTAATTTTTAAAAAAAAATCTATTGTCTTAGTATTTTCCAGAAAAAATGCTTCGTTATGTTTAAAACAAAAAATTTTCTCTTTTAGATTTTCCATAATAAGGGTTAAAAAATAGTTCTTTTTTCACCTTTCCTCCCCATTCCGAATAACTACGTTCACTTTAAAAAAATCTGTACGTAGTTATTCGGAGGGGGGTGGAAAGATGAAGTAGCGCCATTTTCTTTATGGGTAAAAATCCTATTTATTTTTTTACTTAATTAAAGATTACATAAACAAACAATATAAGAATGCAGTATATTAAAGTTAAGCTAAAAGGAAAGCTAAAAGGCTGATCTACATTGAATAATCACTTGTTTGTTTAATCACACAAGAATTGATTCAACAAACAGTGGCTGATAGTCATGTGTCGGCTGCATCATGACAGTTAGATTATTGCTTTCACTAATTAATGTTTTTTTCTATTCCAACTTAATAATTCCATGCACCTTCTAAATTATATAATAAGTTTTGTCTAATTAATTTATTTTTCGTGAATGTTCCTAAACCAGTAAAAAGTGTCTTCTTTAGGTGCCTAATTTCTTCTTTTTGAGTGAAAGCGATGCAGATAGCATATAATAATAACTTCTCTTCTAATTTATTTTGACCTCCCAGAATACTAACATAATCATGCCAACCAATTTTATAACTATCTTCTAATAGCCGCGTAGTATCAAATACATAAATTATTCTAATAATACTTTTTATTTTGTAGCCGAGCGTCTTCTCCTTTCTTGCCATCCTAAACTTGCGGTAAAAATAAATAACAAATAAATCAAATTTCAACATCCCTCTCTTTAAAGGGATCATCAACAATAAGCTTTAGTTGAGATATATGTCTTTTCAGTTTTTTCCCCGACGTTTACTATATACGCATCTTCATTTAGGCATTCATGAACTTTATCTCTAATTTTGAACTTGGGCTGACCCTTCACCAATATTCCTTCTTCTTTAAGTATTACTATATCAACCTTGTTGGCTTCGTTTCTCTTGGCTTATTTTCTTAATTTCTATTGAAGGCCACAACATTTTCTATTTGTATGTTTTTTAGCTTTCCTGGGTTTTCGTCCAAACATGCCTCGTTTGGGGACATCTTTATTGTTGAATGATAACTAGAATTATAAACTTCTAATCCTTTTTTACTATTTTGGTGAGTAATGTGTTCACTATATTTTTATAAATTAAGTCTTGTAAGGTTCGACTGAACCGTTCTACCAGCCCATTTGATTGGTGGTGGGTGTTGTCTAATAAAACTCTATGCCATTTGCTTGGCAAAAATCCGTTGACTACAGAACTTAAGCTTTTTTTGACTGATCTAATATTAATGTTTTAATGCAAACATTACAAATTATATCTTCTAAAAATTTTTTAACATTTATATCTTTCTTCGACTTAAATATCTTTGCAAATCTCCTTCTTGTGAAATAGTCAATACAAACTATAACATATTGATTATTTACTAAACCCATGGTATAAATCGCAACTTTTTTGCCCGGTTCATATGCTTTAACAAATACACATTGTTTTGATCTCTTTGAATTAAATTGTTTGTAAGTAATAGAATTTTTGATTATTTTTTTTATTAATTCCCGACAATCCGTAGTTCCAATGCCTCCCTTTTTCATATAATACTGACTGTATTCCCCTATATAAAAGGCTCTAATAATTTCTATTACTGTTTTTCCTAGCTCACTCTCTCTCTGTTCTTCCGCACAATGGGTTATGGAATTTTTATATAAAATCAATTCCGTATGTTTGTTTGCTTCTCTAAAATTTATACTCAGGCTGTTCACATGTGGAATTTCTGCCTCTTTTTTATATTTTATTACGAAATTAAATAGCGACATTTTATTCAACCATCTTTGTGTTCTTAAAGACTTTATTTCATCACCATTAAGTGCTTCTAATGCTTTGTAATCTGTTAATACTTCAAATTGTGTTCCATATAAAAAATATTAAAAGTGTTCCATCGACCTAACTATAAAATAGTAAGGCATTCCTTTTCGCTAACACTATATTTTATTTCGTGAGTCAACAATCTTCTTGATGCAAATGCAATTGGTCTTTCCTCCCCCAGTTTTTGAAAGGATATAGCCGCTATGCCTTCATGAGATGTATCAATCTCCAGCTTAAATTCCTTTGGCCAATCTGGCCGAAATATGCCTACTGTACTGCTGAGTGCTTTTTTCACTTCTTGAAATGAGCTTTCTTCTTTGATTGTCCATTTAAATTCAGATTTATGTTTTAGTAGTTCGTACATCGGTGCACAAATAATTGAACATTTTTTATAAATTTACTATAGTAGTTTATAGAACCTAAGAATTTCCGAACTTTTTTTTATCTTTAGGACTTTTAGGTCGATAACAGTTGCGTTTTATCTATAAGAGGGGTAATATTGTTGTATCCAATTTTGTAACCCCCAAAAATCAATTTCATTGTGTTAAAATTTGCTTTTTTCTTCGTTAATCATCAGCCCGTTGTCTTTTATAGACTAAATTATCCTACCATATGCTTCATCATGTTTGTTTTTATTTCTCTCAAAAATCTAGATATCATCTACATAGCAGAAACATTTTTTCCAAATTTCATTTCTAAACATATTTCCATTTTTTTATGAAGAATAGTAGGTACGTTCTTGAGTCTTGTGGTATCGCTATTCATTCATATAATTTATGTTTGTACCTAAATGCGGTTTTGTGCCTATTCTTTTCAGCCAAAGGAATTTGGAAGAGCCCATCTTTAAGATCTATCTTTGAAAACACCTCCTTTTTACTTAAGTTGCACAATATCTCATCAATTCTTGATAGGGAGCATTTATCTTGTTCTACAAATTTGTTTAATGATACTAAGTTGGTTGTAATCCTTATTATTCTATCCGGCTTCACCACGGGTCGTAAATTATTTACCCATGTCGATTCCAAATCTTGAATATAATCATTATCCATTAATTTCTTAATCTCTATTTCAATACCACTCTCTAATTTCTTCGGAAGTTATAAATCTTTTCCTACCTTTAGTCCTTCTGTTGTTTTTATCTCACAAACATAACTTATTTTTTCTAAATTGTTCAATTCCATTGGTGTATCACGATAAATTAATTTTTTTTGACTTTTTACTTTTGGTAAAGTATAGAATTCTGACTTGTATAGATTTTCATTGTATGTAAACTCGGGAAAAGTGTGTTTTATAATATCAAAATATTTATCTAAACACGTTGTAAACTTTAAAATCTTGGTGTTTTTATGTATTTTAAATTAATACTTATCGACGACAGGCTCGCTTATAAAATTACATTTGGCTCTCGCGTCAAATAAAACGAAACTTTTTCTTCCATAAATATAAATTGAAGCATTTTATTCAAAAAATCTCCTAGTTCCTCGGTAAATTCATTGGTGCTTTGTTGTTTTTCCATATTTTTTTCTTCGGTTTTGACATTCACTTACATAATGACCTAAAGTTTGACAACTATAAAATTTAATCGCCTTCCTGTCCTGGACTTTTAGTTTTGATAACTTTTCTAGTAGATTTTCCATGTTTTTAACTCTGTTTACTTCGTCGATACATTCTTTTTCTAATTCTTTAATTAATTCTAAATTTTTGTTAATAAACTCAATATTTGTCATCATAAACCTCTTTATATCCCCAATTACTTCTTTCATTTCAGCAGTTATTATGCTTAAAAGTTCTGTTTTCACCAAATCATGCTCTTTAACCTCACTTCTTGCCTGTTCTATATGATCAAGCATATTTTCATCCTCCTTCCGTTTCATTCGATATAAATCTCCTACTAAGATTCCCTTTTGGTCAATTCCTTCCATTTCTCATATGTTATGGTACACTTCCTCTTCGTGTCCATTATCTCAAAATACCAGTCAACCCTACTGTATTCGGGTCCTCCAATAAAAAATTGAATTTTCTTGTCATCATTTTTTTCTCTATAAAATGATATACACCCAAGTCTTTTGCATTCACTCATAAAGTTCGTTAAAAGTATAATGCTGTCTACTGGTTGGGCTTTTATATTCTCCACCATTTTATTTTGTAGACGAACATCTTCTCCTTCTTTATTCATCCTAAACTTGGGGTAAAATTAAATAATAAATAAGTCGGTTAAAGCACCTCAAATTTACAATTTTTTGACTACCCCCGTTTTAAATTTTTTATCCCTTATTTTTAAAATGCTGCACACATAAGAAGAACTAGAAAAAAATTAAAAAAAACGATTTTTTTTATTTTAATTTTTTTTCTGGTTCTTCTTCGATATTTTTTTAATTAATTGGTTGTTTACAAATATATTAAATTTATTATTTAACGACACAAGTACTAGAGAGTAAAAGATTTAAAAATATATTTTTTAATAATTATAAGATAGAGAGCAGCACAATAATTCACTTATCTCACTATTTTCATTATTTCGACACAGCATAAATCTAAGTAGATAAATGGTAACAAGCTTTTTTGTTCTGTTTCTGAATGGGAAGTTTCTTTTTATAGCATTCCACGTGCCCCCAATAGTGTTAGTATGTACGTTTTCTTTCTTGTTCATAAATTCTTTACTATGATTAACTGTTTTATGAGCAAAAAAAAATATTTTTTTAGATTATTGTATGCTTTCCAACAATCAGAATAAATAATACTATAAAAATTTATTTAAGCCTTCAGAATATTTTCTAATGTTTCTTTGTTTCTTTTTTCAACGTTTTGAGAAAAATCTTCTTAGTTCTTCTTCCACACCACCAAAGACCCATACTCTTCCAACGTGATGCCCTCTGCTATATTTTCTCCTTCCAAACTTGCTCTCATCTATCTCAATTATATTGCATGTTCCTCTCAATTTAAAAGTGTTAAGACAATAGTTCAGTATGGAACTATAATTAACCATGTAAATTATATCTGTTACCCTGTTTCTTGACAACCCACTTATATTTGTAATAAGTTTATATGGCACATTATTTAAAAATAAATCAATAATTTTTAATATTGTAATTATTAAAACTTTCCTATGATAAAAACATGTATTCTTATAAATCGAATATCTATGTTTTTTTATTTTGTTGCAACAAACAACTCTTACATCGGTATAAAAAAAAATTTTCCCCACATTCGAGACAATTTTTTACTAATATTCTTTCTTTAAAGTTATTCAAAATATTTTCTAGTTCTTCTTCTGTGTGCAGCATTTTAAAAATAAGGGATAAAAAATTTATAAACAAGGGTAGTCAAAAAAATTGTAAGTTTGAGATGCATTATCCAGGCGGGTGTATTATTTTTGAGATTTTTTACGCGTGAAGAAATCATTTTTAGAGATGAAATTATATTGCTACAACATAATCTCAACGGGCATGCAGGGCTTGATATTTTTTTGCTCTAAACACTCGCATATGGTATAACACGCGTGTTGGTTCAATCTATTATTAGTCAATGTTCGATTGCCAAGCACAGAGAGCTCTAGTTTTCCGTCTCGTAATTGCTCCTATAACAGCTCAATTTTACAGGGAACGTTTTATAGCAGATTTTGCTGATCTTAGGTATTATTCAAACCAAAACAACGGTTTTGGGTGGTTATTTGTAATGATTGATTTATTTTCTAAATACTGTTGGACTGCTGCTTTGTTTGAAAAGAGCGCCTTGGCTGTTAGTAATACGTTTAGGAACATGTTCAGCACTTTTGGCTCTCCTTTTATACTTCATACAGACAATGGTAAAGAATTTTGCAATACGTGTGTATCAGATATATGTAATGAATTTAATATTAGGCATGTTAAAGATAGAGCAAGATGCCCCCGGACTCAAGGTCAGGTAGAGCGATGCAATCAACCCTTTAATACATGATAGGGTCTACTTTGCGTACAAACGGTATGGAGGGTATATGGACAGAAGTTAGAGAGCGAATCGCATATTCATACAATAATCTTAGGCATTCTACTACTGCACAGATACCGACAAATCAGGTTTTTGGTAGACCAATTTATGAAATTATAAACCTGGAGAGAGCCAACGAATTGTATAATTTTTTAGAAAATGAAATAGAAATTTTAGACCATGGGAATGAAACAGAAGTCGAACCACTACCAATTTTAGATAAAGAACTTGATTTACCTAATATTTATCGGGACATACATACTAGCTCTCAATGAACAAAACGAAAGTAATACAAATAATTTAAGGCCAATCGCTCGTGAATCTATCCACAGAGCTGCATAAAGAATAATAAGAAACGTTGGGTGGCGATATGATCGTTTTTATTTTGAAATTGGAGATCGTGTAATGATAAGACCAAGTCTTGATACCAATTTATCTACAAGACGTAGACCTTTATATGAACATCTTGAAACTTGAGTTTACATAATAGTAGATATAATTTAGGCCAATAAAGTTAAGCTTATCAGCGAAGACGATACTAACAATATAATCGAAGAAATTGCTACTTCTCTGTTCTTAGAAAAAGTTAATAAATAAAAACTTATTTAGTATTTTCTTTGGGTTTTTTAAAATAACTATAGCTAATGGTGTAATATAATTCTTTTTAGTTTAATTGGTTTGTTTAATTCTTTTGTTTTGAAATTCATTTTCCAAAAAAATTATGTAGTTATATTTGAGATTAAACACTGCGTTTCACCCTAAAACCCAAGCCTAAGCAATGTTCAAAAAGTTACAAAATTATAAATTTAAACAAACCAACAAAGTTGTTTCATTAAAGATATTAAATACAACAAGCTTAATATATAAATGTTAATCTAAGCGTTGATGTGAAACTGACGACGTTAGTACAGTTGGTATTCTCTCTTAAACTATTGAGCGTTTCGTTCTTGTTTACGGTACGAATCCCAAAGGTGTAGTTTTGCTTAGTAAAAAAAGCTTCATCGACGCCTGATGCCACTATAAAACTTTAAATTACAGGAATACTTAAACCCGACATAGATACGTTATAAGATTCCTACCAAAAATATTCACGGCCGCTATAGCGGCCAGCCGACATTGCCTGTGACAATAAATATTCTTTAACATTATTTTTGTATTTTTATAAATTTTTAAAATTTTACTTCTCCTTACTGGGGGGTGTAACATGCAAATTAATGAAAATTAAATAGGTTAATATTAAAAAAACTTTTTAATTGGTGTTAATTTTAGTAGAATTTTTGATAAAAAAGGAAGTCGTAAGATATTGAAACAAACTGTAAAAATCAATTTTGAGTAAAGCAGTTTTAAAAAAATGGAAATTTTGAGCTGTGTACATATCAACGATAAAGTACACGGGCCATTAAAATTTTAAATGATAATAAAATCTTGACAAACCAGCTAAATTAAAGGTTGTGCAAGATACTGGAAAGCTTTAATTGGCTCAAAATTTTATATCTAACTTCAATGAAAAAAAATATAAATATTTTGTTAAAAAATTGATTTTATGAGTGTGCTTTTAAAATAAAAAATATAAAGGGACAAAATAACACCAT